ATAGCTTCCAGGACAGGCTCCGGACCCCTTGCGACCTTGTATAGGACAAGCGGGTATAGAAATTGGGTGGGTGGAAGGATGGAAAAATGGATGGATGGATGGATGGATGGATGCCTAATTAAATCTCATGTATGAAAAGAAGCATACTATAGACATCAATGTTGTCTGTGATGGTCGGCACCTCGTCCAGGGGGTCCGGCACTCTGTTGGAGAAGCTCCAAGCTCATTTTTGCCTTGTAATAGGGAACATGGATGCATGGCAGACAGAAATGATGATGATTGCCTATAACAGAGTAATTATAATGCCCCTATAACTGGTAATAGCAGGAGGGATTTCCTTTCATTGCACAGAAACCTGCATTTTTGGACGAAGGTGTTGAATGAAATATGAAACTCTTCAACGTCTTAAAGTCATGTTTAAAGTCCGTTAATCTCATATGAATTGTCCCCACCTCATTGCAATCATTCTGAAAAACAAGCTGCACATTGTTACACCTGTTTATAAGTAATTATTTTTTTTAAAAATCAGTTCTTCATTACTGGAAGTTGTAGGCTAAGGCTGCTGGGTTTTACATTTTACTTGGACTCTTTTCTTCATTAACTCAAATCAATCTCAATGTATCTTATTTACAATTTCAGAACATCATGCTTGGAGAACTCTCTTTGAAACACATTACCAAAGAGATGTTTTCCAGTGTGACTGGTGAAACTGATGTAAATAATTATAATCAGCTACTACACTGGGCCCTTGTGGATTTAGTCATCTGGGGAAACCACAACTTGTGTGTATGTCAGCTTCAATTTTTTAAGCATCCAAGTACATTTCTCAGGCCGAGGGAGGTCTCCTCTCAGCCCCTGCGGAGAATGTGGCGTGTCTGGGGAAGAGAAGGAGTCATCCAGGGAAAAGCTGAGTCATGGAGAAGCATTCCCAGCATTGACTATAGGATGGGCACTATTTATAATCTATAACTGGATGCCTGTAGCTTTCAATAGTAAAATAGCCCTAATTTAGATTTCCATTGAGGTTTACACACCTCCATTTGAGAAGATCTGGCAGAGGGAAAGACTGTTTAGGATTGTGTGTCTGTCCTATTTTTCTCATCCTCGTTGTGATGGACTGGTGCCTCATTCAGGAGCCATTTTGATTCATCAAGCGTCACTGTTTACAGCTAGTGCAACACAGACTGTAACTGAAGAGTGCGTTTTGTCGGTAATTAGCACTGAAGCATCCAGAAGGAAAAGTCAGAAATCCAAATCAGCTGGGGCAGCCATCAGACCACAGATAACAGGTGCAGTGTCCACAGCACAGCAACTCACGCTGATAATGCCTGTGGTAGGATGCGGCGCCGTAGTGTACACACTGATAGCCTAGGTTAGCATCTGGAGTCTTCAGAGACATGCTAGCCTAGACTTAGCAGCATAATCTAACTTAGCCAAGCAGCTAAAATATTACGTGAGATTCGTTGTTCACAATATTCCACTTCAGAGGACACTGAACAAGTATGCAAATGTCTTCACACACTGATATTTGTCTATATCTCATTCATGCTACAAGCCAAGATTTTAACTCTTAAAGCATCAAGTTCATTTTAGTTATTAAATATGAATTTGTTCTCCAGAGTTCATGCATCTGAACCCTAAATGTCACCACACTGTTTTGCCAGTTTGTGGACATTATCGACTCCTGTGCAACAGCTGTGCTCTGTCCTGCTTCTATCAGCGCACCCAGGCCCCCACTGTCACACCCTCCCCCAAGCAGTAAGATGGGATCGCTCCACTTCTCTCCTTTTTTGCCATGCCTGCCTCTACCTGTCCACTGCATAGCGTGAGTTCCTCAAATGTGAAGGAAGCACCGTGATCTCAGCACGATCGCACCACCGGCACAATCACCTAGAGGGCAGTGCTGGGGCAGATGCTGGCGCCTTTTCAGTATTATCTGGGCACTGAGCCACAAGGACAATGAAAGCAGTGGTTTGGCAGGGACCCTAATTAAGCACTGAAAATTTGACAGGGGTCACACTGGGATTTGACCAGTAGGTTAACCTTTCACTGTCAGGCATGCTGTGAAGATGGGAGATCCTTTCTCACAGTCTACAGGAGAGACTGCAGCTAATGGAAGAAGACATCAGATGGTACCTGCAGGTAAACTTGTCGGTGAATGAGGATTGATCTTCTTCTCGTGCCTGGATGAGCATGTGTGAATATTAATGTGCACACGTGTGTGTATGCGTGCATATTTTTAGATCCTTGCAAGGACACACCAAGGCTAAAATGCATCTTTAGTAACAATAATTAGATTTTTACTACTATTATTATTATTATTATTATTATTATTATTATTATTATTAACAACATTTCTGTTTTTTACGTTTGCTGCTGTGGAAATTTTAAAGCAAAGTGAGGAGCGATGCAGTTTTAAAGTAAGTGTGTGTGTGTGTGTGTGTGTGTGTGTGTGTGTGTCTGCAGACCTGGGAGGGCGCTGTTTGCCTGGCCCCCTGTCAGCAGCTGAAATGAGACCCCTAAGTAAACATGCCCACCCCCCAGATAACACAGACACCACAGCCCAGCCAGTTCCCAAAACACTATGTCTTTGCACTATTCTTTTTGACTCAATATTTATAAAAATACACAAATATTTAATAAGCAGTAAGATTCAAACATTTCATTAGGAGAAGGTTTACACAAAAAGGATCACGTCACCCTCAGACTTTTAAAATCTCCCCCTTTTTTAGTCTCACTGAAGTTCAATTAGTTTTGTTTCTTCAGAAACAATTGTAAGGTGCCTTATAAAATTAACTTTATTTACCATGTGATTGACGCCTTTCCTCAAAATGTTCAAAAGGTGGTATATATCATAAGTGAAAGAAAAAGGTTTAGCATGTAAGAAGAAATGTGCTTGTGACCACCAGTTCTGCTATGTTCCTAGTGGTTTTAGGAAAAGTATGTCTTACTTTTTCCATCTCGTAGTCATGTAATTTGATCACTGAGGTAAAAGCAATTACTCTCATTCCCCACTAGGGGGTTAACCCTTTGCTTGCATGTGGATGAAGCCCACTCGTGAGCAATAAGTGTAGCCATCTTCACCTGGGGGGGAGGGGTGATTGTACATGAGATAACAGAGAATAGGTGGGTGTGCTTTATATTAAGACTGTAAAAGAGCCAGATCCTTTTTCTCCAGTTCACACACATATTCAATTCTGAAGCATCTGGAGAGGCGTGTGATTCATTGCAGGATTGTTGAACTTATTTACTGACTTCTCTGCTTCTCAACAGGATTTGTTAAAAAAAAAAAAAAAAAAAAATAGCTAAATGAAAATAACTAAATTCAATCCATTGATGCAGATTCCTCGTGTTTAGTGTACTTTAGCAAAAGAAAATCACATCAATTTTATAATGGTAAAAATTATTCCTCATGGAAGGAAAAAAAAATTAAGAACTAGTGCAAGTTCAGAGTGTTCAGATATTCTGGATCACCTTCAGCACAGCTGAAGATAGGGTACCTTGGGTCAGAATATTCCATTAAATAAGGAATTAATAACAGAATTTTACATAAGAGAGGCAACAGGAGACAGTGTATGAGTGAGTCAAACAAATGAAACTGCTTATGTCCTATTTTACTCACCTGACATGAGGAGCACATTGACACACAGAGGAGCAGTTTTGGCTCTGATAATCTGTCTCGTTTGGGATTCTGGATTAAATAATACTGTCTGTTACATGTAAACAGGAAACTCTGTTTTAACGCACTCGAGTTCTTTTGCTCATATTAAAGTTATTGTCCTTACACTTTCAGGTACATGACACAAGCTTACTAGATGAACCGGAGAAACTATGGATCACCAGTCAGTAGCAGATGGACACCTTCTTAAAGAAATCTCCAAGCGGAAAGATTACCTGTTCAAAATCACTGGAGAGCCCAATGCTGTTGTGAATGACGGTATAAGCTTCTGTGTACACATGCTGTTCTTATCCAGAACAACTTACAGACAGGGTCGGGTTTGTTGTTTCCGGAATCTCACTCGAACCGTCACCCCCTCAGATGCTTCAAAAGCTAAATAAATACCTTGCAAGTTGAGTCAGAAGACCGTAGCTAGCTAGCTGGTTAGCAGAACATTATGCTTCAGCGTCTCGTAAATAAGGAGCATGTTTAATATTTATTTCAGTGATTGTTTATGGTCAACAGGAGGCCCTATAGAAATGTGTGGTTTAAGTGGTGGTAAACACTGACGCTGCTTACTGGGTATTGTTTAATGACAGCGATGACCTCATAGCATGGTTCAATGGGTAGCGTTCTCACCTATGTATATAAAGCACGCATGTGTGCTGTGTGGGTTCCCTACTCCAGGTACCTACCGCTATTCACAAGCATGTCATTAGGCGAAGTGATGTCTCTGTAATTGTATATGTGCCCTCTCATTGGCTGCGCTCCCTGGGATTGGCTCCAGTTGCACTTTGACCCTACAGAAAAGTGGAAAATGGATGGATATGAACTCACAGTTTACAGAGAGCATTAGAGACGCTCATGGCGCAAATAGCATAAACACAGTACTTTGCATTCTGTGCATTTGACTTAATCTAACATCTGTGTTGAGGCACTCGAAGTACGAGGTTTGTACAGCAGATGTGGCTGAAAAAAAAGTCACCCTCATAGAAATCAGTGAGGCACTTTAAGGACTTAAATGCATGGTTTTCAATTAAGGATAATTCTGGCTACAGAATCTGGCATAGAGTACAGGAAGGAAGATCTTCTTCATTTTCCTCACCCAGAGGCTAAGGGGGTTTGCCACATTTTTTAAAATGCTGCATAGAAATTCAGAACATGATTCTACGCACTAACTGTAGAGGAAGAGAGTATATCATAAACAACAGATTCCTGGCAAACGGGCTAAGATTTTACCTCAGCTGGAAAGCCGTCCCAAACATCTGAAAGGCAAACCGATAGGAAAAATGTACATTAACACCACAGCCTTCACCAAAAAAAGTATGAATAAACTGATGGATTAATATTGAGGTGTTCAATTTCCCATACAATGACAAGCTGATTAAAGCTACTGATAGAATTCGACTTAACCCAGCGCTGTCTTATTTGTGTCTCATTCTGTAGCAATTAAATCCACATGATTCAGGACATTTCTGTCTATTTCTTTGACAGTTCGTTTCTATGAACTCTCGTTCAGGTGAGCGTGGCTTCTCTGGCATGGTCAGGTATCACACAACGCCAGCCTGTATCCTATACTTCACCTTACACATCCATACATTCACCTTCTATATAGACAGCTTACTGTAAACCACAGAATATGGCTTCGATTTACTGACATGAAATACAGCACATCGAAATAGAGATTGCCCTTTCACTCCCCACAGTAAATCACATTAATGTTGAAATCCTGACACTATGCGTCACAAAGTTAGGAGAGGCCAGCTGTTGTGGTAAACAATCACGGACCACCGCTGTCATCTTCGGCCATGGGCCTCCTCTGTAGTTCCTAAGCTCGTCCCAGAACACGTGGTGATGTGAGGGACCTCCTTCCCTGCATGCTGATGGGTGATGGAGGCCTCATCTTCTTTCCTGGCTTCTGCACTGTAGCCACGTCAAAACCCAATGGGCAAATCCAGCAATGGCAGGCCTGCTGCTTCCGTGTCTAACTATCAAGCACCATGTTCCTGAACCAGCCTTTGAAATGTTGCCTCTTATCTGTAAAACAAATAAATGTGTTCAAAAGTACACAGCTGGTAATATTGTTAGGCTCCACATGCGTTTACCAGGGGTACATCTTGTGCCTTTCCATTTAGAAATTTGCATTCCATTAAGTTCTCTCAGGCTTTCCTTGGTTTGTACCAGAACAGGATGGTAGCAAATACTTGGAAATAAAAAAAAACTACCCGTTTATCTTAGGTTTGGAACGATTAGATAAATAAATCACTCCATTTTAAAGACAGATAGAAGGAAGTCATTCTACCATCTGAAAACTGTGATGTTCTTTAGGACAGAGGTTTGCTAAAACACTAGCAGCAGTTAAATCACAGATGGGTTTGTCTACCATGCAGCC